AGCCAAACAATGATTCTCTCTCATCATTGATGTTTCTATCTCTCCCTTCCTCTCTGAAGTCAATAAAAACATTTTAAAAATAAATAAAAGAAAACTGAATAGCACACTATAAAGAATTTGAAAAAAATATTAAGATACTTTTAAAATCTATCCAGACGAATTCAATATGAATTTTTTTAGTGGAATGGCCTCATCCAAGAGCATAAATTACATACAACTTATGTCAAATATTTTACGTATTTATTTCCATTATTTAAACTTGACTGCATTTTATTAGGAAAACACCACATGGCACATAATATAGGCTTGGGGAAAAGCTACTCTTCATGGAAACCTGACAAGGTTTTCTTTCTTTCAGGGAAATTAATTTCTTCAAACCCAGAAAACAAATCTTAAAAGTTGGCACCCTCCATCGTCACTGACAATGTCAGCTAGAGAGGTCTGAATGTTTTGTCTTAAAAGGAACAGACCTGCCGAAACCGGTTTGGCTCAGTGGATAGAGCGTCGGCCTGCGGACTGAAAGGTCCCAGGTTTGATTCCGGTCAAGGGCATGTACCTGGGTTGCGGGCACATCCCCAGTAGATGTGCAGGAGGCAGCTGATCCATGTTTCTCTCTCATCGATGTTTCTAACTCTCTATCTCTCTCCCTCCATTGTCACTGACAATGTCAGCTAGAGAGGTTTGAATGTTTTGTCTTAAAAGGAACAGACCCTTGACATCTCAAGGTCTAAGTCTTGAGATCTTTGCCCAAATTCAAAACTGCTCCTAGATAAGTTGACACAAGTCCCTGGTTTTCTGTAGAATCCCATTTTATCTTGTGTCATAGTTTCTTACACATGTTTTCACACCCAGGTTATTATTCTCTTTAGCTCCTCTCATTTAACAATTAACGGCCATTGTATCAGCCAAAACAAAGTACCACAAACTGGGTGGCTTACACAATGGAAATGTATTGTCTCACCGTTCCGGAGAGCAGAAGTCTAACATCAAAGTGTTGGCAGGGTTGGTTCCTCCTTGAAGGCTGTGAGAGACAGAATCTGTTCCGTGCCTTTCCCCCTAGCTTACTTAATCCCTGGCATCCCTTGGCTTGAAGCATCACCAATCTCTGCCTTCACCTTCATGTAACGTTCTCCCTCTGTGCTTGTCTATGTTCAGATGCCCTCTTTTTATAAGGGACACCTGTCATATTGGATTAGGGTCCACCCTAATGATCTCACCTTCACTAACTACATCTGCAAAGACACTACTTCTAAATAGGGTTACATTACAAGGTATTGAGTGTTAGGGCTTCAACATATGTATTTTTGGAGAGGGAAACACAACTCAACCCATAGCGGCCATTTTTCACATGATAAAGTTTGACATTTTCCAATCACTGCGTATTGTTTGAATAACTGCTGGATTTGCCATGTCTGCAACAGAACCTGGAATACAGGAGGAGCTCAATAAACACTTTTTGAATGAACTAGTGAATAAATGAGACTGCAAGTGAGAAAAAAACAACTGTGGATGCTCAGAGTTGAGCTCAGCTAACTCATTAGCTGAGTAATGCCTTCCAGCATGGAATTTAGCAGGATTTAACATGTGCCACGGCAAAACTGCAAAACACTATATGCCCATGAATCTCTAAGGTCCATGTGATAACTCACAAATGTCAACTCAGAAAGGCATATTCTTTTAATAATAATTTCTTAAGGGAAAAATAATACAGTATCAGAAAGAGGGTATCAAATGATTTGTTTAAATAAGTCAAGAAATGCATTATTGAGAGAGCAAAGATCACTAAATGAGACAGTCTTAGCCAGATACATTACAACATGGTCTATAGGTAGTCCACACTATAGAATTACATCAGAGATGATTCCTTGTTATAATTCTCTCATTTTAATAACTAAGCTCTAGGACAAAGTCCAAGATGAATTGTATACTATAGCAAATTGTGTACTATAACAAGCCTCTATTCTTTTAACCCATGACATTTTTCAACATAGCCTCAATAGATACCTACATAACAAGGAACTGAAGGTATTCTTCTCTATTTCTCCTAATCATCTCATTCAGATCTTATCACCATGAATTTCCTGGGTGCTTGGCTTTAAAATACTGTATTACTATCAACTTTAAATTCAAGCCCTGGGTAGGTCTACATTCATTTCAGCAGAAGCATCTTGAAATGTTGAATTATCATCTTCAATTTCCCTCAGTCATTTATTGTAGCTGCCAAACTGAAATGGTATGCCTTAAAGGCAACACTAAACTGAAAGCAAGTAATAAAAAGAGTCTCTTAAATGTTTCATTTATAAAAGCTTATTTTTCCCACCATCAAATTTTGTATACTGTCTGAAATATATCACTTTGCAAAATAGACAACTTACATGCAGTTATTCTGCCCTGGTACATTTGCTCAGCTTCAAAAATGGGGGAGGTGGGTGGCAGGAACTAGCATTTTTTCAACCCTTTGTGAACAGAGGAGTGACACAGTCAGGATAGTCTGGGTTTGGGCCTTTGTGGGGAGGAATTAAAAGCAAGCCTCCATTGGTAACAGATATCACTATAACTGTCTCCTTTTCTGGATAGCTGCACTATCTTCCAGGTTATATTACAAATTATGTAATAAAATAAACACTTTAAAAAGGCACATGGAGTGGCGGGTCTATGACAGCTCACTCTGATAAGAGAACAAATCTGCAAACTGAACACATTCTAAGCGTTTCCTTAAACTACTGCTCACAAGCAATATATAGCAAATTAATGAAGAGCAAGTCTACAGAATTCTGTAATAAAACCTGTACACCTTTCCCCATAATTGTGAAGGACAGCTATGGAATATTAATATATAAACAAAATATGGTTTGTACTTCTAAAACAAAAGACTTTCAGATGAGGATATAGGGGAAAGGAAATGTTTTATTAGGAAAGTACACCACATTTATATAAAATAGGTTGCTACCAATCTCATTTGGCCCAAGAGCCACTGAATTTATCTGAGCAAGTTTAGTAAGTATGCTAAGGAGGGAGAAAATGAGATGACGGTGCTTTTTTTCTTCCCTTTACACATCAAACTTAGCTATTACATAAGGATCAGAATCACTGTTCAAATCTTTCTCAGTTAATATCACTTTGTCAAGTCAAAATTTGATCATTTTTTGCATAAAATTATAGTTTAACTGTATCATAACTGAGTGATTCCTAAAACATCTTTTACTCCAATGACCTACTTAAGAAAACAGTATCTGGCCTGGCTAGCAAGGCTCAGTGGTTGAGCATCGACCCACGAACTAGGTCACAGTTCGATTCCCCGTCAGGATACATGTCCGAGTTGGCTCAGTCCCGTGGGGGGCGTGCAGGAGGCAACCAATCAATGATTCTCTCTCATCATTGATGTTTCTATATCTCTCCCCCTCTCCCTTCCTCTCTGAAATCAATAAAAAAATATATTTTTTAAAAAGAAAACAGTATCTGTATTCAATGCATGGTTCAGTTTTGAAGCATTTCCTGGCTACATTTGTAGCTAATTTTCAAAGCTTTATTTAGAAATAATGCCAACCCCCTCCTAACAGCTAAGAAGAACAATTTTTTAATCTATAGGGTATTTTAAAAACCAATCAATTTGCCATAACCTCCTAATTCCAGGAATGTAAACCATAATTCAAGCTTCGATTTTCCTCTTAACATATTCTACTTTACTAAAATGAATTCTCATCCTGCAACTATGAACAAGAAAATTGTACTTAAAATAATATTAAAAGACAAAATCTCATTATTTAGTATTAAATTAATGGTCTATAATTCTAGCCTTAAAAATATCTATAGCTATAACCTCCCCAACTTATTAATTCCCAGAGATTAATAAAAGGTGTAATTAACATCTAAACTTAGAGCAGACTGCCATTTGGAACAAACTGTGTTAACAATAACGGTACCAGAGTCAAAGAGAACAACCCCTCACCCTTTATGGTTCTGACTAAGGTTAATGAGCACAATTTGTCATTATTTTCCAGTAACTGAAAATCTGAATTGAACAAAAAGACTACTTTTTTCAAACACTCTATAAAAATAGAATAAAGGCTGAAATCGCCTTATTTAGAACCCAGCAGTGTTTGGCAATGGAAATATCATTAAGTATATGAGAAATTAATAAACAAATAAGCAACCCAGTGCACTACCACCATTCAGCTCCTTTTTATGTGCTAAGTATTTAAAATTATATATAATAAAGTGAGATACACTCAAACTGGTTTCTTTAATCTTCACCTGAGGATGTTTTTATTGATTTTAGAGAGAGAAGAAAGGAGATAGAGAGAAACACTGATGTAAAAGAAAAAGCCATGGATCAGTTACCTCCCATACACACTCTCGTAAGCACCCTGACCAAGGATCAAACCTGATACCTAGGTATGCGCCATGACCTGAAATTAAACCCATGACCTTTTGTGTATGGAACAATGCTCCAACCAACTGAGCCACACTGGGCAAAGCTCAAACTATTTTTTATTTCTACTAGTAAACACTGAAAAAATTATTCACCTAAGAATCTCCAATTTGACAGAATATAAAGTTGGACATTTACAAACCTATAATTTGGCTACTGATTTTCTACAATTGTGTATTTTTTTCTTTATGAAATTAGAAACATACAGAAATGCAAGTTATAAGTTTCTTTGCAATAAATAAGGCCACACATGTACACTGCACTTAATTTTAATAACATAGCTTTCATAAAGAAGTTGTTTAAAAATAAACAACTAAAATTTGAATGAAGGAGAAAAAAATAATGAAATAACTATAAATGTTCTTCCACTTCAAAAATTGTCTGACATCTGAGCCAGAAGACTCTCAGTATCTATCAGAGACTTTCTCTTCATGTCACAGAAAGAGTTCAACATGCTTTACAAAATCCATTAGTTTTTAAGACCATTTCCAATATCTGCTACCATAAATCAAGAAATCCATTTATTCAAGGTTAGTTATGGAAAATTAATCACACAGAAAATTTTAACTTCTTTTTCAAAAATTAAAGTACTTTATTGTACTTGGCATTCCTACACATGATGTGAATTCAAAGACTGAAAACATTAAGGGAATATAATTAAAATTCATAAGGCTTAGCCATAAAAATAATTTTAATATTAGAATTATCTGTAACAAATATTTCAAGAAAATAAATCAGAATATAAACACAATAAAATATCATTTTAGCTTTCTCCTCTGCTTAAGTGGAAGTTAACATAGAAAGTTGTTCCAAAATGCTTGCATGTATTTGACATGACCTCAAAAACATGTAATCAAACATGAAAAGTGAGACTGATAGAACTGTGGGCACTATACATCAGGAACAAAACTCATGAATCTTTCTATTCCTAATGGTTTCTAAAATCTAACTTCCCACTTTCAAGGGCAAGTTTACTCAAAAGAGAATAAATAGGTCAGCTATACAACACTTACAGCCTTTATTGATAGGATGTAGCCATTATGCCCAAATTCAGCCATCAATTACAACTTCATTTCCCATCCACAATTAATGAGAATATATTTTACTTCAAATGGGACATATAGGCAGAGTGCCAAAAGTTAAAGTATAACCTTAAAGTCTTAAATTCACACTTCAAATATCAAAAGAAGCAATTCCCAAAATCATGAAAACATGATGAAGTAACTACACATAAAAAAAACACATTTAAGTCATTTCACTTTTTCTTGTATATAGTGAAAACAGATGTATTTATAACTTTAGACTTCAGAAAGCATACTTCATAAAGTCATTATTCATTTAAAATAGACAAATGTTTACAGAGAACATTTAACTTAAATTTCATAGTTGCTTATAAAATAGTACTTGAAAGGTTGACCTATATAAGGAAACAAGAGTCCTGTCAAGAGAGATGGTAAACTATAAATATAAAATACACCACAACGTTAAAAACCTCACAGTACACTATAGGAAAATCAATAAAGATAACTTCATCTTTCTGGGGGGAAATGTATTTAGCATTACAAATTCAAATGTAAATTTTATATATGAATTCAATAAGGAATACATTTAAACCGTGCATTGCCACATAACCACCTGTTAAACAATAAAAATGATGTACTTTTTGAACATGTGTACATCAAAACCAAAAGGTTATTTTTTACTTTTTCCTTTACTGGCAACTTTGGATGCATTTTTAGGTTTTGGTTCCCAGAGGGCATTTTTCACGAATCTTGAAGCTGCACCTTTGTCCAGCTTGGCAGCCTTCTTCTTGTCAGTTATTTCCTTGACTCTGTTCATGTACACTCTGATTCTTTCCTTAAAGATAAAAAGAGAGAGAAAGGCAAAAGATTTACCATCAGTAAGTTTTTATGCTATACCTCAGTTAAATTCAATAGACGTGTATTTGTTGCCTATGAGGTGGAGCTAGCAAGTGCGCGTGAGCAGGATAAACATACCCGTGCTCTCCTGCAGTTCATAGTCTAGGGGAATATAGGCATCACAAAGTCATTTCAAAAGAGGAGAAACTATACTGACGTCACTCCAGAGGTAAACACTGAAGTGTTTATATGTAGTTATACATTCTTAGATAGCATTAACCTAAATCCACATATTAGCTCTTATTTACCTGAAGTGTATAATCTAAAATAGAAACCTCATATACTTCTAACATACAAACTAAACTCTCCTAAAAATTTTCCAAGCAGAAAATGGGTAAGGCAGGATTGATTTCTTTTTTTAATGTTACCTTGGAGTGTCACAATTAAAATAAGAAGAATGAAAATATACAATCTTTTATTCAATTTCATAGTTTTGATTGATAAGCACATATTTTCTAACGACATATACTAGTATAGTTCTAATCAGACTTAACAAGGTGAGAAACACAATACGTTGTCATAGCATGAAAATGTTCTGAGATCATTAATCAGAATGAAGGACTATTGTAGAGTTCAAATGGAGAAATGAAGGTACGAGAGTCATAAAATAGAGGTAATGATTAATCACTGCTTAAAAGCAAGTTTCATGAAAATAATCAAAACAGTGAAATAAAGGTTGGAGTTTTGTTTTTCTGACACAGAAAAATGTAGAACCATAAAATTTTTTTATTAAAAAAGACTGACAGCTCTGCTCAAAACCCTCTCATGGCCCCTATTTCTCTCAGAATAAAAGCAAAAGTCCAGCCTGGTGCTATTTTTGATTTCTTCCCATAATATATATTATATATCCCCTAACATACCATGTATTAATATATATTTAATATTTGTTTGTTAATTTATTATGTTAATTGTTTGTCTCTTTCCACTCCATAGGCTGACATCTGCCACAGGGTAAGGATATTCATGAGCTTTATTCACTGAGGAATCACCTCACTCGAAAATAATACCTGGCTCCTCCCAGGCACTCAAATATTTGTTGAATGAATAAATTCACCAGTTTTAATGCCTTTCCCATTCATGATATAACTCTCATATACTAACTCTATGATTAATTAGTGATGTCTGTCACAAGGCCACGGAAGGAAAAAAGGTTTATATATTTTTTATTTGTCAGCCCTTGTCCAGAATATGAATGTACTCCTCCAAAAAGTGGGTTCTGAGAGTGAAAGAAGACAGATGATTTTATCTTTTTCCAATGACAGAACCAAGTATTAAAATACTCCAAATAACTTTGTGTTAAAAGAAAAAGAGAAATTTTATAAAGGTGCAGTCCATATTAGAGGGTTGAAAACAGATGGTAAAATGCATACTTCTTAGGATTTAAAGTCAATATCACTGCTCAGATCAAGATCTGTGTATCATATTGCTTTATATTTTGCTTTAAGTATTTTTTTCACAATTTCTGTATTTAAAAATATATTTATTTTCCCTCAAGAACTTTAAAAGAAAATATCTTAGTCCACACATTAACAAAATGAAGACAACAGATCTGGTTTATTCATTTTTTAAAAGTAAATGACCATGTACTTTACTGCTGTCTATGCTTTATTAAGTGGTATGTAACATATATATCAACTACCATAAGACTTTAGGACAATCATATAGTGTCAAGTGTATTCACATTTATATTTACCTTATATTTTATAAACAAAGATTAAATTAATATTCTTATTCATAAAACGAAGTTAAGAAGGTAACCATAAGTTTGATTTCTGATTTTTCTCTTTTAAATTGAATGATTTAATTTTTGAAGTCAGCAAAACCTCTAAGATACCAGACCTTATATACAGTACTTATACATCTAAATGGAATACAAAGACAAACCTAGAAGATTTATTACAGGTTGTAAATATGTCACTAATGCAGAATTACTGGACAGTACACATACAACTGGTGCCAAAAAAGCTTTTAGCTTTGTTGCTGAACTGGATTCTTTACTGCTGAGAAAATGAATTAATGGAAGAATTGAAAAGGTGGGGGAGAAACTTTCCCGTCTTTGCTAGTAAATCAACTAGAATATACTTTTAAGAATTGTGTAAGAGTTTAAAAAAATAAAAGGCAGTTGTAGAGATGAACAAGATTTCAAGAATTTATAGGAAAAATAATATGAAGTTATAAATAATTACTAGAATCATAACATATTTTTCTCATCCAGAGATTTATATAATATATATGAAGCATCAATTCTCTGACAAAGGTAAGAAAAGGAAAAACTAAAGACATGCTGAAATCTGGACTAACTTTCATAATTTCAACTCTGAATAATTTTATTCTCTGCAATTAGTGGATAAAGGTACTGTGAGTTTAACTTCAGGAATACTACAACAAACAGCCATGTAAAGTAAAAAGAAATCCACTGCAATCTTACCAGTTCCTGCTTTACTGGGTGTTCCTTAGGATTAACTCCCTGAGTTGCCAAGTAAACTACAAGAGAAAGATTTCATGAAATAAAATGGTGTATATATTAATGAAGAGCATTAATTAAAGAAACAAAGAAATGTCACACAAATGACTGACTAAATCTTAAATTATTCAACCTCTATATAATAATAAATATGTGTGTGGCTCACAAGCATATGGCATTTTTATTTAAAAGAAATAAATACTGTATCTGACTATTAAAATTGTCATAAAGTATAACTACATATAAAGTGCTAGCATTTAAAAAATAAATCACCCTTGAATCAATAAATAATTTGTTTTGTAATTAACTCCAAATATACATACCCCAAAACATTGAATTTAATGTGTAAGCAGAAACTAAATCCACTTTTGCTTGTTCAAGTGGGTCCAACTATTAGAAAGAGAGAGAAAATAAATTCAAACTTTGAGGACCATCATATATTTTAAATTTTCACCGAGCACAATGTTTCAAAGAAATGTTTTTTTCACGTTTTATAATCCAATAACCAAATGATCTGGAAATAATTTGCAAAAAGAAAAAGGTTTGTTAACCAGTGATTTTTGCCCCAAAATTTTCAATTCAGAATATCATCTTTAGTTAGACAAGGAATGTGTATAATCCAAGAAAAATTCTTTTGAATTATTTTAATTTCAGGAGTTACGATCTGGGCTTTGTATGTCAAAAGTAATTTATCAATATAAACATAGTACATGATGCATTTATGTATAAGAAGCAGGCTAAAATGCTTAGGCAATACCAAAGACAGAAGAAACATAATGAGATTTGTTTTAGACTGTCAAAGTCAATTTACTCTTTTTGTCCTATAGGGTTTCCAGAAACCCTGATAACATCATTGTAATACTTAAAAGGTCAAAGATAGAGTCTATAGAAAAGAATGCTGTGAGTGTTCCTTTTTGTTTCCAAAACCAAGTCAAAATAAAAATATAGTTAAGAGGTATTTCCTAAGGTTGGAGTTTTGTTTTTATCTCCTAAAAACATCCAAACACTTATGAAGTTGAAATAAAGGGGGAAAGGAGCATGCATATATCATTAATCTATTTCTTAGCACAACACTATTTTCTGAATTACATTTTTAAAGTACCTTCTGCAACAACTCATTTCTAGAAACAGACATCATGGTCTTCAGCATGTCATCTACAGCACCAATGGAATTCTCAAATGCTGATAAATACTCATGGATTTCTGCTGGATAGTCTTCATTAATTTCTTCTTCTGCCATTATGACCTACTGAAAAAAAAAAAGTAAATTCTTAGAATTCAAAATAGAGACAGAGATTGTTCTTTAGGTTAAAAAAAAATCAATAGGTCATACCATGTACTTCAAAAGTGCTAGGAGTTAAAACCTGAAGATAATTAAACAAATCTTAGAAAATAATTATAGAGCAACTACGAACTTCCCCTCTTCTTAAGTTGCTCGGGAAGGGGGATGGAGTGGAGAGCAGGGGACAGACCCACCCAAGTCCATCAAACTCTGAGTGCTTTTCAAGAACTAAAGTAATGACTACCAAACATAGAATATCAATAATCAAAATCCTACATTTAAAAAATTTTCTGTTGGAGTTAAAGACCAAGCAAAGCAATGAAAGTGTGATAAGTATATCCCCTAATGCTTGCTGAAAAAAAATAATCTTTTTTTCCCCAAAAAATGTATATTTTAGTCCTTCCAAACCTAGGAGTTGATCTAGCAGCATGCTATATTAAACTACAAAATGAGAAATGCTAAATCTGAAATATCTTAAGATTATTTATCACTAAAACCATTTTCAAGCCTATATATATGTATATATTCCTTAAGCTTCTTTAAAATATTAAGAAGAAAGACAAAAGGCCCATAAATCACATAAAGCAGAAAAGAGGAAACTTGGGAGAAATAAACTGTATGGTTTTCATTTAGGCTAGAGCATACCCTGACAGCCCATTCTTTTAAAATTCACATTTATATCATAATATTTAATATCTATGTGAGAAAATGAAAAATACACATCAATGTATTTCACATGGTATCTAAGACCAAATTTCAGAAGCAGTTCTAAGCCATACATACCTCTTATGTCTTAAAACAATTTTTTATTAGCTGAAAATACCTCATTCATTACATAGCTAAAGAGAACAGCAAGAATGTGGTAAAATAGCACATAGCAGAGCAGAATTGAAGTAAAAAGACTGGGCTTTCCATCTTGCTTGATCACTAACTTTGTCACCTTAGATAAATTACTGAATCTCTCTAGGCCTCAAATACCTCATCCATAAAATGGCCTAATGATCTGTAAAAGACCCTTACAGTTCTAAATGTTATGACTATGTCATTTAACTTTAAAAAGTGCTTTTTGAATATTTAGTCATAATATATCAACATTTCTATTCAACAAGTATATATTCTACTGAGATATCTGCATTCATTAAAAAAAAAGTGGAGTCCAACTGACTATCACTTCTTATGCTGTAAAGTTACTAACTACTGTGCAACCAGCAATTCAACAAAGAACTGCCCTAGCCGGTTTGGCTCAGTGGGTAGAGCATTGGCCTACAGACCAAAATGTCCCAGGTAAGGGCAAGTACCTTGGTTGCAGGCTCCTCCCCAGCCTAGGTCCTGGTTTGTGCAGGAGGCAACCAATCGGTGTGTTTCTCTCACACTGCTGTTGCTCTGTCTTTCCCTGTCTCTTCCACTCTCCCTAAAAATCAATGGAAAAATATCCTCGGGTGAGGATTAACAAAATAAAATATATAAAATAAAAATAAACAAAGAACTATGGTAAAAGAAAAACACTGGGGAAAAACTTGTGACTTCCTATTTCAAAAGACTAACTGAAAACAGATACTTGCCTCTCATCCCTCCAAAAAATCCCTCTAAAATGATAGAAGAAACATAAAAATAAGTCCACAGTAATGCTGGAAACCAAGAGGCACATGCCCATCGGCAAATCCAACAGTATAAATTCCTGAAGTTAAAGAGCAAATGGGATCAGACTGATAGGAAACAGAAAAAAGCCTACAATCCCTTAGAAACCAAATGGGAGAATCTAGGAATAACCCCAAGACAAAGGGCAGTAAGAGCTGGGCCACAAGGGCTGGAAACAGCTACCCCAGTCTCTAGCACTGTCAAAGTAAGGCTCCAGCACCTACTGTCCAAATAAAGATATAAGTACAAGGGATACACTGCAAATAGAGAGAAGACTCAGTGTTTCTTCTCTTCATGTAAAATCTTAAACCAATAAATTTGAAAATGTGAATAAAAATGAGATAATAGGGGAAAAAATCAATTACCAAAACTAACCTAAAAGAAGTATATAAACAAACAGATCATGAGCCTTAAAGGAAAAATTTATAGAAAGTCAAAGATCTGCCCTCCAAAAGGGATACAAGCCTACAAGATATTACAGGTAAGTTCTACCAAACCTTCAAGAAATAGTTAATTCTTCTAGTATTTAACTGGTTAGAATGTAGAAAAAGATGGAAAACTTACACACCTTTTTCATAACATACACAAAAATAAATTCCACATGAATCTAAAAGGTAAGTGAATAAACATATTACAAGATTATATAAAATATATATGTAATCCAAATGAAACGCAAGTGCTATAAAAGGAAAAGGGTGCCCTGGCTGGTTTGGCTCAATGGATAGAGCATCAGCCTATGGACTGAAGGGTCCCGGGTTCAATTCCAGTCAAGGGCACATGCCTGGGTTGTGGGTTTGATCCCCAGTGTGGGGTGTGCAGGAGGCAGCCAATCAATGATTCTCTCTCATTGATGTTTCTCTCTCTCTCCCTCTCCCTTTCTCTCTCAAATCAATAAAAATATATTTTTAAAAAAGGAAAAGGATGATGGGTTTAACTACATAAACACTAAAAAGAAAACAAAATCTTTATGGTAAAAGTACAACATAAGCAATATAAAAGAAACAACCTGGGAGAAAATATCTGTCAAAATATAACAAAGAATTAATTAGATTACACTGAGTTCCTACAAAGCATTAAAACAAATTAAAATAATGAAGATATCTTATCACCTATCAGATTGGTAATAATTTTAAAGATTATCGAAGGTCAATGTTAACAAGGGTATATACTGAAAGTAAAATATAAATTGGCACAGATTTTTTAAATGCACATACTCTTTTTTAAAAACACTTTTTTTATTGATTTCAGAGAAAGGAAAAGAGAAAGAAATATGTTGCTGCACCTATCGATGCATTCATTAGTTGACTCCTGTGGGTGCCCTGACTGGGATCCAACCCACAACTTTGGCACACTGAATTCTGATTCAGGAAATCCTCTTAAGAATCTACAGAAATCCTGATATACATGCATACAAATTTAGCAAAAGAGACTCTTCAAACTCTTCTCCCAATTTCCGCACTTTCTCTTGCATCAGTTTTTCCCTCTGCTGGATCAATTAACCATAAATCTTAAAACATTTTATTTCTCCATCTCATACAAGGAACAAAACATCTTGACTTCATATCCTACTCCAGCTAAGGCTCCATTTTCTATCTCCCTTTCAGGGCTTCTCAAAAGAGCTGCTTATATTAACAGTCTAATTCCTCTCCTTCCATTCTTTCTTGAATCTACTACAAACAGGCCCTCTACTTCTCACTCAAAATTGCTCATCAACATCACCCACACAGCCACACTGTTAAGTTCGATGGTCAAGTCTCAGTCATTTGACTTCATTGACTCCCTTCATTTGGTTTCCAAGGGCATCACATTTTCTTGGTTTCCCTCCTACCTCACTGGCTGCTTTTTTGGTGTCCTTTGCAGTATCCTTCTCGTATCCTCAGCCTCTTAACCTTGCAGTGTCCCAAGGACTGTCCTTAATTAAATTGCATTAATAAACTGATGACTCCCAGGTTTGTATCTCCAGCCCTGACCTCCCTATTGAATTCTAAATCTACATTTCCAACTGCTTACTCAATATCTCTGTTGGTTATTTTAATAGATTCTTAAGTATTATGTACCCAAAGCCTAATTCCTAACCTTGCCTACTATAGTCTTCCTTGCCTCATTTCATGGTAACTCCACCTTTTCAACTGTCCAGCCCTAAATTTTAGAGAAGTCCTGGACTCTTTCCTCTCTTACCCTACCTTTAAGGCATATTCAGAATCCACCTCTACTGCTACCAACCTGGTCCAAGCCAGTCTAAGCCATCGTTATGCCTTGTCTAGATTGCTGCAATAACCTCTTAAATGGCTTCCTTATTTACAACACGGTAGTTTATCATCAAGAAAAAGCAGAGTGGTCATTCCAAATCTATGTCATACCTCTGCTTGGAAACTTCCAAAGGCTTACCACCTCACTCAGAGTAAAAGACAAAGTCCTTACAAGGCCCTAAAAAGCCCAACACAATCTGCCCTCTCTGCAGCCTTCTGTGACCTCAGCTTCTCCCACTCTAGCCCTTGCTCATTCCACTCCAGCCAGGACAGCATCACTGCTCTTCCACATCACAGCAGGCCTGGCCCTACCTCAGGGCCTTTGTACTTCTCCCTTCCTAGAATGTCCGGTTTCTCCTTTCCTCCCCTACCAACAGCTTCAGAGCTTATTACTTTACCTGTCAGATCTTTACTCAAATGTCACCTACTGGTAGGCCTTTCTTGAACACCCTCTTTAAAATGCATGCCCCGCCCACTACACCCCACCCCTTGGGCCCTACACTTCCTATCTCCTCAATTACCTTACAGTCCTCAATTAACATCTGACATATTTAATTCATTTATTGTCTGTCCATCTTAAAGAATGGTAATTACATGAGAACAGAATTTTGGGGGTTTTGTTCACTAGCACAGCCTGACAGTCAATAAACATGTGTTCAATAAATAACCTATAACAAAATCCTGGAAATAATCTATTCACCAATACAGAAACAGCTAACTAAATTGTAGCACATCCATCCAAGAGAATATTATAATTAAGCAAGTTCATTTGGATAAAGCCCAGCAGAACAACGTGGAGCACAAGGTTGAAACTTGTTCTGATATCTATAAGAATATCACAGGCAAGGATGTTAATTTTGAATTCCCATTGCTTCAGTTGTAAACAAAAATGACTAAAAAAATTATTGTTCAAGTAAAAAAAAAAGAAAGAAGTAAATCTCTATGTAGTAACACATAATGAGAAATGGTGAAAAAAATGTCATAGAACACTCTATAGTATATAACACATAATGTATGTGCCATTTGTTTTTTTAAACCTGTATCTGTAGTTACTAGTATGTAGGAAAAGATTTGAAGGAG